TTGAGAAAAGAATTTCAAGACAGGTACAAGGTAAGGTAGACCTTATTTATTCATAAAAATAATCCAGCAAATCTACTGCTATCACTTGTAATTCAATGACTTTGCAAAGCCATGCGACGTGTTTGTGTGTAACATAACAGCCTTTTTATTATGAAATATTTGCGTTGTCAACTTATCACTTTTCCAAACCCAAAGGTTCTTTGTTTTACACAACAATGTAACTCAAAGGAAACTTGTAGCATTTCATAACAAGTACATAAGTTGCACATTTTTGTCTATGGGTGCATAAAAATTGTATATGCCTGTCTCACTACCTTGCGTCTAAGCATATGAAAATGGGTCTGCACACTTAACATATATTTGAGCGATACTGTAACCTTATCCAACCAGCTCACCTTTCAGGAGCCAATTCTTTCCGGATACTTGGCCTTTTCACAAGCTCTTGATATCTCTGAAATTCTCTCAAAAGCTAGGAAAAAAAAAGTAAATTGTGATTAATAAAAACACCAACCAAAATTATACTGTGTCATAAAAAATAAAAATACAATAATTAAGAATTAAGTTTTTGAGTTCAGCACCTACAAATTTTCTGGACATGCACCTTTCAAAATGCTGAATGATTTCTTTTTTCTATCCCTTACATCCAACTACTGATTAATTAGAAACATTCCATGATTTGTCATTAACAGTTGGCTGGTTCCATTTTGATTAAATTGGTTCATTGTACACAAGACAAAATTCTATAAAACTTACCTGATGTGACTTCATTGCAGACAAGTTACTGAGCTGCTGTCGCAGCTTTCCAGCTATTTTCTGCTCAGCAGGAGCCATTCCCCTCTCGTACTGTGCCACAGCTGCCCTCCACAGAGGTTCTGTGTAGGGGTTGTGGTGCAGTGGATTTAGTCCCGAGAAAGGAAGAAAGGCTTCTGATGTTCGCAACTGCTGCCTCTCTGAAGTTGACAGCAATCTGACAAGCTGTTCATGAACTGTTCTCAGTGTAAGAACCTTGAGAAAAAAAATAAAGACAAATAGACAAGAGGATTTGAAAAAAATGGCATCTTTAAGGGAATGCCAAAATACAAAAATATGCAAAATTAGGTAAACTATGTACTTCAAAACTAAAATTTGTTAATTGAATATTATGAACATTTCAGTGTTGGATTAGATTAAATCTTTTCAAAGTATTTACTGAATCAGTTACCTCTTCTAGCCTTGCTGCAAGCTGTGACAAATTTTCAGGAACAAATTTTTCACCTCTCCATGGGTGAGGAGGAAACCTTTTCCAATACTGCGATGTGAGTGTCTCACTGCAGGTGGACACCCACCTTTCACAAACTGTAATCCCCTTGCGCATGGAATCTTTCACTTGCTGAAATGAGTCATGCCAGATGTCAAGCATTCCAAGTTTACGTTGAACATAACGACCCAAGGCCCCTGCCATAACATCAAGGAGATGTTTCATGCGTGCCTCAAGGTAAGGCTTATGGTCTTCTTGTTTCCAAATCTCATCTAGAGAATCTTGGGCAGACTCCAGAAGTTCTAGAGTCTCATCAAGATCCAATGCATCAAGATTGGAAAAGTCTTGAGAGACATTTCCTGTAATATCAATAAAAGGTTTGGTCATAATTTTAGTATAAGACACTTTGATCTCCTTTGCCATCAGATTCTGGTAAAATTTGACACTTGTCATGTGAAGAAAGCAAAAATGAAAATCACATGACTGATGTTAAAACTCATCCCCCTCACTCCCATCCAAAGATCAAAATATGAAATTTGTGCCCTGTTTGCTATATATTTCTTATACTTTTAGTTTGGAAACTAAGTGCTACATCAAACCATTTTTTTCTGTTCTCATGCCTTTCTGCTTGAAATTGATGTTGCCATTAATATAAAAAGAAAATTTTCCTCAGTTCTGACTCCCAGGAGCAAATGGGTTGACACTTATCGATAGTTACCTTTCAGGAATACTAGCCTATCTCGAACTGTACCAAGAACCCTGTATATCGACATACTTTTTTTCTCAATTTACCATTTAAATATATTTCCACACTAGAGCACATTTTAAACTTAATTATGGAAAAAAGGAGTTTTCTTTCTCCATTACAATAAGAAAAAAATAAAAGGTTTCTTTTCTTAAAAATTTTGAGGATTGACGGATGAGTGAGGGAAATGTCTTTGAAAATATGCGTGACTCAGCCAAATAGGAACCTATGAAAACCATGATTCAAAATGGTGTTGCTTATTTCACCTTGTCCTTGTAACACATAAGTTAACTGTATTTATATAACGAAAACAAATCATGAACACTTGTCAGTAAAGCCGTAAGGAAAATTACTGTTTCAATCTGAGACATCTCTTCTTGTATCAGTTAACGGGGAAAATTATCGCGTCCGACCTGCATCAGTTGCTATGGACGACAATATAAGCAAATCATTTTTTTTTAAGATGGCGGCTTACCTTTCTGAAAAGTTTCTTGGAAAAAAGACGCTCTTTCCCTCTCAGACAGATCATAGCCTGATACTGCTGCGTCTGACCAGTATTGAAACTCGTCTTGAGGAGTCAAAATACCACCGAGGTTTTCTTCATCGCCCACATTAGCTGCTCGCGAAGATGAGCTGTCCTGTTTACGTACTACACTTCCTAGCCCAGCTTCGAGTTCGCTCAACAAACTCTGCAATTTCGGGTCAAAATTTCGGCTCCATTTTTCATCCTTTAGCAGCAAAGGAGCAAATAATTTCTGCACGGAATGATACAAGGTGTTCACCGGCGAGGAAAGCATCGAAGAGACGAAAACATTTTCGTGGACATTGTCTGGTGTAATGGCCTCCGGACGAAGCTTGAAGAACACTAATACCTTCTCAGCAGTGTCACTGGGTTCGACATGGTTTAACAAATTGATCGTTTTCTTTCCTTGATGGACGTCGTATTTTGCAGCCAAAACCGGCGAATTTCCATCATCCAGGAAAACATTGAGCTCTTTCGAGGCAGTAACTTCAGCCAGAACATTGTCAGAACTTTGGATACCAAAATAATTGCCGGTCGTTGCGACAATAAAGTCTTTCCTAACATCTTCAGACGGCATTCTAGGCGTCTATCAGTTATGTCTCATTCTAAATGGACATAAAATCAGCACCAAATGTTTAAGTTTCAATGATCACATTATTTGCGAGCAGAAACAAGATAAAATGGTAATCGAAAAACAACACTTTGCAGAGAGTGTTATGTACTTCGCCTAGAGAGAAAATTGTGCTTGAACGAGCAAAGACTGAGGCGAGCGCCTCGGTGTTTTTGGAGGAAATTCATGATCAGTGGATTGGATATCGAGCTCTTAGAAATAGGAATTTCTTGATGCAAATTTACCTGAAAAGACCAAAGAAAACCGAGTAGTTCCGACAAAAATCAGGGGGAATTTTAAAGGGGAAAGCATATGAAATGCAATATTTTACCAAATAATAACTGCAGAACATAAGACGACGTGAACACAGTCGACCTTGTACTTTCGTAGTTTCAAATCTACAGCAAATCTCGACCTGGTCACTCGCGTTTTCCCGAGTTACGCAGTTTGCTCGTTTTTGCTTTGCGTTTTATGGGCGCCTCGTGATATATTCCTTTGCTCTAACTGGCTGGTGCTGATTACTTTGGTCAAGGTTTAACGCCACTAAATAGGATTGTGCTAAATGGCTCGATGAATCCGTAGGATTTCTTTCGACATTTAATTTTCTTTAAGACGAGGCATTCTACTGGAGTAAATATGTTGTCACGTCCTATCCTCGGAGGGAGTCCATTCGATATTCTATAGTAAGCTGAATTATACACAATTTGGTCAACAGTTTGCCCGCCCTTTCTCGCATTACAAGCAGCTTGAAATTACTTCATGAATAATTCGTAGAATGTGAAGGAAAGAAAAACTCGTTGAGTAGGGTGTCATACCTTAAAAAACAAACCAAAAGACAAACAGTGTGTGTACATCAACGAAGTATGGAACATACAGGTAAAAAAATATAGTGAGAGGATAAAACGAGAGCAAATCTTATATCCGATTCATATCATAAGCAGATTTCATTTATTAACCGCATTAAAATGTTATGTCATTCCTTTAATTAACAATCAACTTATTTGGTGGAGCACAAGAACGTTTACAATCTAAACTACAAGGCCTATCTATGTGTTGCTCTGAGCATAAGGCGAAGATAGAGCAAAGCAAGCGGTAAACTTCGCTATGCTTTGCGTGACGCACTAGAGGGCATGGCGTGACACGCTGGAGGGCGGCTTGAGGATTTTTATAACAAAACAGTCATTGCAGTCATTGCAGAGGAGCGGTAACTGAGTCAATTTAAAGTCACTGACTGGCGAGCTGTGTGCTGTAAAGAGTAGTTCCAAAATAATCTAACATTTCCACGGTCATATTTTCCAATGACTGAGGCTAATGACTTATTTTCTTCTTCAGTAATTATCTCAGTGATTTTCAGAGCGAATCTGTCTATTTGACTTCATTCGTTTGCTTCCAACTTATCACTCATCGAAAAGAAAAGATTCACGGAGTCTAATGCGCAGATCATGGTTAATCCGTGAACTGCGCATAAAAGAAACAAAAAGTGGATGAAGCGAGAAATTAAATAGTATTCGTTTGCACAAAGAATACGAAGAAGAACAAAAATGAAAAGTGAGGTGAAACGGAAGCGCCTCCGTTTCACCCTAGGGGGAAGGGTACGGCTACACGAAAGCTACTTCGGGCGGGCGTATTTTCGCCCTTCCCCTGCCCCCTACCCCCGCCGTCCACTTTAACTCCAAATCAAACATGGCCGGTCTGATATACGATCGCGAGCTTATAACATTAGCCCGCACTAATAAGACCCCTGCACTGCAGGCTACCCATTATCAGAGGTGGTAGGCCGGAACAAGTACTTTGACACCGGAAGTTTAACATCATGCCATCACTATCACGTGAGGGTCAGCTGGTAGAGCTGGTTTACTTTACCATAATCCCGGGTATAATCTCATTGATAACGCACGAAAACATGATGGCGATCAAGCATATTCTCTTGGCGATCTTCCTTACTAGCGTAGCTTACGTTCGCTGCGATGAACTGAGATTTCTGGTGGTGGGTGATTGGGGCGGCATGCCTTTGTTCCCGTATACTACTCCTTACGAGACAGCCGTTAGCATTGCTATGGGAAAAGTCGCACAGGAACTGGGAACACAGTTTACCGTCGCTCTTGGTAAGAAAAAAATTCATTGCTTTCCAGATCAATTTTGAAGGGTGTTGTAAACTTAAGTCTTTAAGGTTTAGGTGAAAGATATTACGATTATGCCTATGATATTTTCACTAGCTCGTCGCTTGTTCCGGGCGCTCAGAAGGTTATTAAACGGCGGCGAGTTCGTAATAGCACTCGTAGAGCTGCCTTGAGTCTTGCTTCATTTTGCGTTATTCTGTCTATACTATCGCAAAGCTATTTGCTAAATGATCGTCTTCAACAGCTGTGATTACGCTTGCTTATTTTAAATTAAACTTGATTCGAAACGAGATATGATGTCAGACTCTATTACGCAATGTAGGCCAAGTAATCATTTTTTATTAACTGACAACAATATCGCAGCAGACTGATTAACTCGGAATGAAAAATAAAGTTCAGAAATTTGTCCTCTGTGCGATAGAGAATTCTTTGAAAACGACATTTGATTTTAAAACTCAAATATCTCCTTTCCACTACCTAGGCTTTTTCAAATTCTTTTTTCTCAAGAGTTATAATGGGATTCCATGAGTGTGAAGCCCCACAAAAGCTGATGATTGATACATTTTATTTCTTCAAAAGCAAGATTTTGCTTGTCTAAAGAAAATGTTTTGCGAAGATCCAGCAAAATAGTGAATTTACATCCACTCTCAGCGCCCCAACTGAGGAGAGAAACTTTTGAATAATGAGGATGAAAATGCACCAGTTATTAGTTTCGAAACGCTTAGTTAATACACACTTTTTTATCGTTTTTGTTCTGATTCGTTTTTAATCAATAAGTCTTTCGTTAGTTAATGATTATTACCCAACAAGTTTGTTTATCTCCGATCAATTCCCATTTAAGTACACGTATAAAGATTCTATTTCAATAATCGCTACTAAATCATCGCTGCTAAATCGTCGTTGCCAGATAATCGCTACAAGCTATTTGCTACCGTTAGGAGCTAGACCAAAGTCAGTCTATATTTCTTTTACATTTACGTTGTTTACTTTTTGTATGTATTATTGGTGTAGTTCTCGTATTCAGTTTTCCGTGCAATCGCTTCATTTTTAGTTAGGTTAACCTTACGTTTCGCAACGCATTCTTCTTAGTTTAGTTTCTGTTGTATTTTCTTTTAGTTCGAACCACACACACATGTAACCTCCACCGCTATTCTCATCAAGCAAAATTACGTCTTAGCGCCATCATCTAAAATGAATAGAGATCACTGTGTGCGTTTGTATTGTATGCTCAGTCACATAGGTAACCTTTTGAGTAACTCACTAATAACATCAAACAATGTGCTAGAAACGGCGACACGAAAATTTTCGAGCTCGTCGCCTGACAAAGTCTAGCAGCGTAGTAGTAGAAACGTCGCAATCAATACACGATTGATTAGCCTGAATCTTACATCGTGAGACAAACGCTCATTTATCTATAAAACCACGATGAACAATAACACATCTATAGAATTTCCATTCTGCGTACTGAAACCAATTTGAAATCGAAATTTCATTTTAATTTATATTAAAGTCGTTTATAAAGAGACCTCGGACAACAATGAAAAAATGACATCAGAGTAAAATTCAGATATTTATTCTTGAACCTTAGGGTCACAATGACAAGTTAATTGTGCCCTGATCAACTTCAATTTCTACGTTTTTACGAATTTTTTTTGCTCTCGTGTCAATGCACAGGCTATATCCAAAATATAAAGGAAAGGAAAGGCCATTTCAGTTGTTATTGTTTTTGTCAGGAAAGTATTTCCTCTAAACAGTTGCGAGAATGGAGTTATTCATCGCCTGAGGGGGTTGGATTCGAAAGTAGGGTCGAAGGATTTTAGCTATCACATGGTTTTGAGAGTGAACTTGGCGGGGGGGGAATTGGTCATCGCCAACAGGGTATAAGGAAGAAGGGAAACCATAGAAAATAATTAATAGGCCACCAAAGTCTTCCGACCTCAATTCCTTAGTTTAATACCCTCTGTTCCCTTTACCACCTCATTATTTTTTTTTTATTTTTTTTTATTTTTCAGGTGATAATTTTTATATTACGGGGGTGAAAAACGTGGATGATAAAAGATTTAAAGAAACATTTGAGGACGTGTTCACTGCCGAATCACTGATGACCCCGTGGTTCTTTTGCGCCGGAAATCACGATCACTATGGCAACGCATCTGCTCAGATTGCCTACAGTTCAAGGTCCGAACGCTGGAATTTTCCAGACTTTTATTACACTAAATCCTGGAAGATTCCTGGTAAGTCAGTGGTTCGTTACTGAGTCGGAGGGTGGGGTTTAGGAATCATGCAGAAGGTGGACTAAGGGGAGAGGTGTTGAATTAACAGCGGGGAAGTAAACTTACGAGGACTGAGAGTCAAACTGAGAGTTGAGGGATGAAGCAAATGAATGAGGCAACGAGGAAGCAAGAAAACGAGGAAACGAGAGAAAGAGGGAAAGAGGGAACGAGGGAATGAGGGAAGAAGAGAACAAGAGAACGAGGGATCGAGGAACGAGAGAACGAGGGAACGAGGGAACGAGGGATCCGAGTGAACCGAGGGATCCGAGTGAACCGAGTGAACCGAGGGAGTGAGGAAACAAAGGATCCACAGAAAAAAATGGAGGCGTGCCTAAAAGATGGGACGGAGGGAAGAATGAATAGATAACTGGATGGATGGATGATCTTTCTTTTCCCTTTTGGTTTGGTCATTAATTTTTTTGTTTTCATTTTTTTAAGGCTCTGATTTGGAATTGCAGTTGGTTCTTATAGACACGGTTCTACTCTGCGGTAATACTGGACATGATCACACCCATACTCAACCTGAAGGTATCATGACCTCTTTATGATAGTATTCTTTCTTTCTTTTTTCCCAAAAAATCAACTACAAGATTAAAAATACTTTGATTGCAAAAGTCCGAGCCACATTGTGGAATTAGGTCCACACACTTAGCCTCTCATAAAGTGGGCGACCTTAATTCAGTCCCACCGGTAAAATACTGTAGGTGCCATTTCCGAAATTTTTACTCTAATTACTGGCAGGAGGAGTTAATCTCTGCGCTTCTCTCTGGGCATTTCCTATGGTGTCGAAAAGGAGAATCTGTTTTACAATCAAGAGCTTCCTACGTTGGCGATCATTTTTTTTTATTTCCATGACCTTGATGTTTGTTTTGGTTTAGCAGTTATTTTGCAAGGACAAGTTAGATCGTGGTTACACTTAGTGGTTTGGAGGGTTATAGGGCCTGCGTAAATCACAACTCTCCCGATCTCCTGGTGTTGCTTTCTTGACTTAACCTGTGTCTCAGCGGGTCCTCATCGACACATCTCCGCTAAAGTGGCAAACAGCTTGAGTAACCAAGGAAAACAGAATAAACCAACAAACAAAAACACGAATCCACTCTTAGAAATGGACTTGCGCTCGGCTCCCCCATTCCATGTTGTACAATCGCAAATAGCAAACTACAACAATTGACTTGGAGAGGGGTATTAAGGATAAAATTGTTAAGCTATTCCAGATCATTATCATTTCAATGATAATATGTCTGACTGATTGGCCCTGACAACAGATCAACCAATTTATGCTTCTAATGTTGTATTCAAGAAAATTTTCTTTCTTTTGCGTTTTCAATATTTCTCTCGCCCATAACTTTCAGGGCCCGAATCTATTGAAGTTGCCGAGGCACAATGGGATTGGTTGGAATCTACCCTTCGTTCGTCCACAGCACATTATCTGATCGTTGGAGGCCATTTTCCAGTCTGGTCTATAGCTGAGCACGGACCAACCCAATGTTTAGTTGATCGACTAAGACCTTTGTTGGAGAAATATCACGTGACTGCTTATATTAGTGGACATGATCATAACCTACAGGTAACTGGCATATTTCTTTAAAAATTGAATATAAACTTTTGTGATGGTCTCTCGAGTAGTTCTGCTTAGGTTAACCAATTCACTCTTGAGTTATTCCCTATATTCCACACTGCTTTGCTTGCTGTAATCAGAACACACTTGAGATGACGGGAGAACACTAAATAAGGCATGTGAATCACTGACCACGACTAAGGTTTTAACGAACTTTCCTATATTATTCTTACACCTGTCTGCGTTTTTGCGATGGTAAACTAATAAAATTTACGAAGTCGGCCCTTGTTTCTCCTCCATAATATCTCCTCTCTCCTTAATGTTGTCATCTCTCCCAGCCCTCTTTGTTCTCAACATTAAAAATGACATCGCCATCACTTTTACCATTTTGAAAGCCATCTCCTCCATCATCATCATCATCATTATCATCACCATCATAATTGGCTCTGTAGTCGTTTTCAGTTTCAACATCAGAACGCAAGCCGAAGAAATGCTGCCATCATGTGATAAACTTCATTATTTTTCTATGTTTCTTTCATATCCATGGATTTACCTTTAATTCTATCGATTGCCTTTAGCACTTGAAAGAAGCGGACTCCTCGGTCAATTATTTTGTAATTGGAGCTGGCGCAAAAATAGACAACAATACCAGCCACAGCAACAAAGTTCCCAAAGATAGTTCGTTGTTTTTCTGGGCTGACTCCAGCAAGGCAGGAGGATTTGCTGTGGTGCACATGGCGGTGGATAGCACTACACTAGAGATGTTGGATTCCCATGGATCCTCTGTCTATAAAGCTCAGCTCAACCCTCGTCATTCAGGAGCTTAGTTATTACGCTCCGCTCTGTACCCTTTGTCCTGTCAGTTCGTTTCACGCAAATTATTTTGTGTCTCGCAATGTTTGTTTAAATCAAAGCGTCGCAGTACCTTATCTGTTTGGTTTTATGAGTTAAATAGGTTTTTTGTGTGTGTTGTCGTGGAAATCTACGACTGAATGAGGTTTTCTAGTTTAACTATTTACATTTCATCTTAATCTTTTCGAAGTATTCCCGTCTGCACCCTTTTGACTTTTCAATTTTAGAAATGAAAAATCTTTTGATCAGTATAAAATTTCCCAATTTTAATACCAAGCCTTCTCTTCTATACGCACTCCGTTGGGCGGAATGAAGAGAGACATGGTAACGAGCTTAGCAACTTTTTAGTACCTTAATCTTTTTAACAAACTACTCAGGGGTAAACCAAGGAACGGAAATAATTGCATCGTCGTTTACTTTACCTATGTCTAACCTGCAAAGCTGACTACTCTGTTAGAGGTACTCCTTTCTCTGCCTTTTTCCAATGCTTATCAGTATTCTGAGTCACTGGGTCTGTTGGTCCAAAACAATTTCTCTTACCTTTCCATTGCACGTGTTGCAGATGCATTGTAATTTTGTAGGAATAACTCTATTCAGAAAGACAATTAATGACTTTTTATCCCATAAAGTAGATGATTAGGTTTTGCTATATCCATTTTAAGTTTAATTGGGAAACGCTTTAGCCTTGTGCCTAATGCAGAAGTCAATCCGTGTTGAACTCCTTCAGGTTCATCGTGTTAGCTCTGCATATTAAGCAATGCTGTTACAATACCCTACGAAGGACAAAGCTCGCACGGTACTTCTCTAAAATGGTTTAGGTGAGGTGTGCCAGGGGTAAACCAATACGTCATCCTTGGAGAATATCAGTATTCAGGCCAAATCGCTTCATGATGCAGAAACCGAGTCACGCTGCGGCAATTATGCGCCTCGTAGACAGGCCTTATGAGCATCTAACATCATCGTCCTCGCCATCCTCGTGATTCCCTCGCCCATTCACTCACTCTCTCTTCTTCCTTCCGCTTCGACGTCTCCTTCGCACCCCTGTCGTCATCATCATTATTGTTATCATGACCACTCATTGTCATCACCATCATCATCATAATGATCATCACCAACATTACCTCAAAATTCGAATGTATTACTCCTTTTGATTGTCGTGGGTGCTTCCCTGTCATTCTCGTGGACAAAAAGAAAGGGATCTCGATTTCTCTATTTACAAAATATTCTCTTGTGTGAATATCACCAGCACTAACGAAACGATCGATTCAAGTAAAGCTCTTATAGGTGGATACAACTGAGAAGTAGTGAGCACGTTCGTTAAGGGAATTGGCTTCTTAAGGGAATGTGTGAATACCTAGTTTGTGAGGCGATACGAAAGAAGGGACTCTTTCTCTGGGCGCAGGTGGTAAGTCGGGCTGTCCCTTGACTAAAGTGTCCAGTATAAAAATCCTTCGGGAGCCAGTTCGAAAGTCCCATAGTCTTATACAACAGATGAATAAGAAAAAAACTTAATTTTACCTATAAGTTTCGCCAGTCCCGATTACCCAGAAAGGTATTCGGGCAAAGGTAAATACCCGTACGCGATGAGCTGCAGTCTCACTAACATGAACCCGACAGTTAGCATTAAACTTCTCTTTGCTCCCTAAAGTTCATAGTAGTCCATACTTGATTATAGATAAAGGGGATAAGTTTCCAAAGAAACTGCGTTGCTGCTTAGGTGGGAGAGTATAACAGGATAATAAAGTATTATCAACTGAGCTGATAACGTAAATTGGCCACCGTACAGAGCTTAAAAGCTGACCTTTCGAGCGTTAGCCCTTCATCAAAAAAAAATAGGGTAATTTAGTATTATAAACCGAGTTGATAACGTAAATTGGCAATCGTAAACAGTTTTAAACCTGACGTTTCGAGCGTCAGCCCTTTGTCATTAGCTCTGATGAAGGGCTAACGCCCGAAACCGGCATCAGCTTTTAAACTCTTTACGATGGCCATTTTACGTTATCAACTCAGTTGATAATACTAAATTAGTCAGACATACTTATATGTTAGGTTGGTAACAATAATAACAAGTGTCAGATGTAGGTAATTACCACCTATGTCCCTTTCGCTAACTATTTGAATTACTTCTCTTTCCTTCTGTTTATTCTTTTCAAAATCTATGACGCAATGGCAACCTCCAGCATCTGAAAGAACAGAATTCCTCCGTTGAATATTTCGTCATTGGAGCTGGCGACTTTTTGTGGAAAAGCACCCCGAACAAAGACAAAGTACCACAAGGAAGCTCGCTGTTTTTCTGGGCTGAGTACTTAAGATTAGGAGGATTTGCTGTGGTACGCGCCTCGGTGGAGAAATTGACTGTGGAATTTGTAGATTCCTTCCAAAGTAGTCTTTACAAAAGAATACTCTATCCTCGCTCTGAAATGAAAGTTGCCGTATAGGTGAACATTGTAGAATAAATCTAAAATTGTCAGGTAATCTTTAGCAAAACATGTCAATTAAGATTATCATAGGACCCTATAGGTGAATATTGTAGAAAAAATCTAAAATTGTTAGATAATCTTTAGAAAAAACATGTCAACTAAGATTATTATAAGAAAACAAGAGAATACCAACTGTCTCTTAAAGAAAACTGTAGCAATCAGATGATCTTATGACTTCCCTATGTGATATTATTGTACGTAAAGATGATTCCATCGGAGTTACTAGTAAATGAAACCAGCATGAAAGGCCTAATTTTTTTATGAAATGAGAGGGAGAGGGAAGGGATGCGATGAGAGGACGTTTTGTAACAAGCGGGAAAAAGCGCGAGAGAAGAGCGAGGCAAAAAAATGATGTCTGTAAAACAGGTCTCGTAAAATGGTATTTTACTACTCTATGTGGAGATAAATATTACCTGAGTCATACTCCAAAGAAACAACACATAGAATTATGAGAAAAGGTAGGATAAAAATGATGTAAGCATTACATCCGCTGACTTTCAAACATTTCTCAAGCAGTCAGAGTGGAGCTCCCTAATTTTGAACCCAAAGACTGAGAGTAGTATAGCTACCTTTAAATTGTTATATTTAGTGATGCATTTAGTTGATGATTATTCCAGCTCCAGCTCGCTCCATCATCAACAGGCAGAAAACTGTTTTGCAGTTCCGGCGGTGTTTAATATTCGACAGGATACTTAAACGAATGATCGCTCTAACGAAGGGCTAAAGCTCGAAAAGTCAGTCTTTAAACTCTTTACGGTGGCCAATTTACGTTATCAGCTCAGTTGTTAACACTAAATTACCCTGTTTTACTCTCCCACCGACGCAGCACCACAGTTTCTTTAGAAACTTACCTCCTTTATACAATCGCAGGAATGATTACACAGGGTAGTTTACTTAACCGGTGCTTCTCACAAACGTCATCCTGATGATGGCCTTAGCGCTAGCTTCCCTTCCTTAGCCGATACACAGCTAATTAAAGGAGTTAGTCTGTGGTTCACATTCCTGATCTCAACATTGTGCATGTAGGGTAGAACAAAAATGCGCCTGTATCCTACATTTGGCTTGGTAAGACCAGACTTTCCTATTAACGATTATATTACGAAATACTTTGATTATCTGCTCAAGGTTTATGTCAGATTTTTTCGGGTTCCAGTATGGACGTCTTCAATAGATATCTCAAAAAGTCACTGGCTTTCTAACCAAGCCCTCGACAAACTTGGCACACACTATCATATAACCCTTACAGCCCCGCGCGCTGTTTAACTATGAGAAACATGTTTAAATAAAACGTATCACCAAAACCTAGTTGTTGCATCATCAACAGTGCGGATGGTTTTTCATTTAAGAACTGCGGAAAGAGAATGAGATGATAGCACCGTCATAATGAATAAGTTATCATGATTTCAGTTCACCTGTTACCCTATGAATTTGGAAATCATGCAAACCTAACCATAAACTAACTTAAAACAAGGCAATATTTTATTTAAACCGTCTCACTGTTAACGAACAGAGCATGAATCTGCTATGCTTAATCCTTAAGGTAAGTTTGTTTATGGGATTAGTCGTAAATCAGAGCTCAGTCTGGAAGCTGTTAACTATATGTTAAGGATACAGCAGAAATTAAGGCTAATTACAAGCTTGATTACCAAAAGAGAAGTAGATTCAGAAATATCTTGTCAGTTTGAGTGTTTGGAGGAACCGCGATGTAAGTTCTATAACTTTGAAGCAGAAAAGAACAGCAAAAACAGATTCAGGTGTCAGCTGAGTGACTCGGATCGATTCGTTCATCTTGATAACTTATCAAAGGACGAAAACTTTAGATGCAGAGAAATACGGGTAAAATAATAACTTCTTAAGTAGGCCTATTACATGTTTTCTTGATCAGTTTTGAGTGCTAATGAAGCTTATCAGTTATTTTGCTCTATTTTCAGTTCTGTGATTCTCGGACGGAACTGTGATACCTCGCATCATAGGAGAACAGGGGAGGAAATCAACACATAGTTGGGTGTTTCAGTTCCCGGCGATCTGAGATCAGAGGCGCAAAATCCCAAATTTAAATGAATTTGAATGGTGCATGCTCATACATTATCATCCTGAAAGCGAAGGAGCACAATTGGCGAGGTTCAATCGTGGTTCGTTTTGTCACGAGTATGAAACCGAAAAATTAATAGCGAGGAAGCGAACCTCAAAACTTTGTGTTCCAAGGGAACTACTCGACGACCTCGTTCAAATTAACCATCTGTCTAATTATCATAACAGACTCAAACCTTTCGGCGCCCGCAGGGATCATGCAGAGACTTTTTACATGTTTATGAGTAAGTTTCCATCATTCTTAATACCTCCTGCGTTTATAGTAGTCATTTATCGTCCTAATAAGATACATGAAAAAATTACTCAGTTCTGATTGGTTAAGATAAATGCAGTTTTCACGTAATTCAAAGCAGAAGAGGGTAAATTCAGTGCAAAGAAGTAACAAACCTCAGTGAACAATTCCTTGAACTGTTTAGCCGGACTTTGAACTTTATTGCGCCTTAAATGTGTGAAAGTATCATCGCATATTATTATTTTGATCGTACGCGGTTGTTTTGACCGAACGCACAATGTCACTTGCAGGGTTTGAATAAATTGTTTTTCCACTTGATGCGCGCTCTTTGCTTCTGCATAATTATGATGAGCTATCTCATATTTTTTTGATGTATATTATTAATACGTAATCACATGATTTTCTCGTGCAATTTGGAGGCACTTGTAAATTTTTTTTCAAAGACCACGAATTGCACGAGCCCGTAGTGCAATTTTGTTAGTCTTTGAAAAAATTTTCTCTTGCTTATTTATTCCAAATTCACTCGAAATCATTTGATTACCTACACAAACAATACCGTACCGTGTCAAATTCACGATCAGGAAATAACTCTGTTCTTTTCAATTTTAGCACGTTTGACGCCTCTTCCTTCAAAGGGACTGTGCGTGTAGACAACTCCAAGCATTTATTATCCGCAATGAATTTATAATCAGGTAACTTGTTTGAAGAGCATATAGCTCGGCAATGTATAAGAAAGGCGTTACCTTAGATAAACCCTTTCTTCTCTGGTTTTTATGCCTATCTTAGATATTTTTATGTAACAGTCTGTAAAGGTTATTTTCTCTGCAGATCTCCTGTTAAATGTAGTTCTTATTTCATCCGTAGGGTCCCTAAATTTTTATTTTAATAGTCAGTCTTGTTTTTGTTTTGTTCCATGGTAATTGGTATAGAAAAATCACTTCGTAAAGAGTCAACATCTCGAAGGAAATGCCAAGTTTGCAAGGCCCACTTTTTGTAACTAAACGTGATTCGTTATAGTTAAGTGTGAAGATGCACGATGGACGATGGTCAAGGATCGAGAGCCTTATTATTATCACCTTTGTGGGAGCTAGTCCTCCAAACTGTAAGGTTGTGAAGATGTTAATGGTAAATAAAGAAACCAACCAGAGTATAGAGAGTCAGAGGAAGCATAACAATATAATATCGTTTGCCATTTGTGGTATTTGCCTCTTGAAAGTTTAAGAAATGGTGAAATAAATATATTATTTAACCAATGGTCGCCGGCAGATCTTCCTCTCTGTTTAGGAAACCAAAATGGTTCCAGATTTACAGATCTATCCCAATCAAAGACATCAATTAATTTCTAATCTGACATAAGGCAAACTTTACTTGATTAAATGATTTCGTAGTTTTACAGTTATTGGTCTATGATGGATAGCAAGCTATGTACAATATCAGCAAGGTAAATTTGTTCTTTCATATCGCCCCAAACAAATTAGCTCATGTGTTTCCATGTGACGCTTGTGGTTAGAGAAAACTTTAAGGCTGATCAAATTCTGGCATGTTTAACTCCAAGGTGTTTCACCCTCCAAGTAACCGGTGGTCTTAAATGAAACGCGGATGAAATCGCTTGTTATTTGTCCAGTAGTCTGCATGGTGGAATAAAAAATTAAGATAGATATAATTACAGAAGCTTCTCAAATAATGTTCCTATACGGGTACCAAAAATTTTCTTATATCACTCTTTCTTTCGGGTTCCCTCCTTGTTATTAGATTTTCTACATTTCCAATGGGAGACGGCCAGTACTGCAGCTAGCGCACCAATCATTGTACAGACACCAATCAGAATTGATTCAACCACCAGCATGACTGTAGCAGTGGACTAGTAGACAAAACGTATTGAGAAAAAAAACAGTAAGTTTATAAGGCCTTCATACTTAATGTTAATGGCATATGACATAACGAATGGAGGAGCAGAATGAACGTATGTTGGTGATGCAGAGGTGTAAAGACCCTTTGCAAGATCGAAATTCATACGATCGTTTCTGGGTGAAAAAAATTTGAGCCTCTCTCAGCCGTTCAGTAAGGAAACGATGAGACAGTGGAACCGGCCGCGCAGAGCCAACAGATCGAACAAACAAGGTGTGGGGAATCTTATTAAGAACCTCCGAAGGTGTTAAAAAATTTTTTTTATGATTAGTAGTGTTTTCCTCATCTTGACGTAACTTAGCAATCATATTGGCGTTGTCGAATGGATAAAATTTGAATTAATTAGGACATTGAAAAAAACAACAAAGGCTGGTTGAAAACGAGAAGGAAATTTCCATGTGGTTTTCTAGAACAGTTATAGCCGTATAGTCGGATATTCAGAGAGGGGGATTTGTATCGGGAAACTCTAAATTCCAAAACACTCCCCCTTCCCCCATTTTTTTTTAACATTGCATCATCGCCAGAAATAAAAGCTGACAAAAAACTGACAACCGTGCATGAACGTCACACACAACTGATCACATCACAAAGCCACACGCATAATACACTTGCATGAAGTGTGGATAAAGTGGATTTACCGCCGATCGTTCAGTTCTAAGGTGTCCTTGCCAATATACTTCATAAGTTCCTTTATCAATAACTTTGATTTGGAGTGTTTGCTACCTTGAAAAGTTACATTAAACTTTGTAATTATTTCCACTGATATGAGCTAAATTTAGTTCAGACAAAGACGAAAGACTCATCAATTATGCCACCAAAGTCTATCTAAAAAAACAAAGCACAACAACACATCGCCCCTCATCGGTCAGTGTTTCGATAACACAAGACACATGTAACGCAGGATTCGAGCTACTGGAGTCAGTATGCGGCGGATTTCATAAAGCGATTCCGCATCAAAAATTAAGCAACAGATGCGAATTTCAATTTCCCCTTTGATAAGAAACACTAAAGTTAAGGCATGTAAATAGATTCAAAGAGTTTGTCAAAAGGACCCCTGTTTGTTACATATGTAAATTAGGATTTGAATATTCACTTAAGAAATGATTAATCTCTCCCCATCAAAATCGTTTGCTTTTTTGACCTACTGACGGGTAAAGTCTTCAATGTGTTCAATAAACAGTGATTGGTTAAAATTGTGTAATAAATCGCTTAGAATGGTCTGGACTATTCCCTCTTTGTGTTAGATGAAATGTTCCATTTCATTTCCTGCTGACGAACGCGAGTATAACTGCATGAATTACTGTTGTTCAATCAACTAAATTTTCCCCCAAATACTCACTTCTATTCTTCTTTTTGGTACAAACTTTCTTGTGAGAGAAACTCCGAGATAAAGTCTTTCATTAAAGATAACCGTAAAACTATATCTCTGCTTTTGTGACGCGAGTTGAATGTGCGCCCATCATTCTGGCTTCTCCTGAATAAATTTTGCCTAAATGCTTTAAGGCAAGACTGGTTTCCCTGGAAACTTAACCAAAACGTACCTTAAAAGGCGTTTGGGCAAATACATTAACCACTCTCAATTCTCCACGAGCAAAAAACGTTTCTGTATTCTTATACGGCCTTAAATACAAGGTAAATGATAGAATGATGTATATTAATTAAGAAATTATCAACTAATATTTGGACAATAATCTTGGTTTCACCGGCAACCACAGCTCAAGGCCGGTATGTAAATTTATCCTGAGGAAATTAAATTCATAAAATGGTTTTACTGCAATCCACAAAACCCAATGAATTTTCGCCATTTGTAACAAGCTTCCCTTGTGAGTATGCGATTATAAAGATCAGTTAAGTCCGGTACAAATCTTGACAAGCCTTGCCACTTCATACATGTCTGTTTTTTGAAGTCGTCTCTCCTTCCGGTGTTAATTTTCTGTGCTTCTCTCCATCGTGGCCGCCATTACAATGTGTAAAAAGAGTCACGATCGTTGTAGTACTTCCAGCTAAAACCATAGCGAAGATCAAAATTTCCACAAATGCCATTTTAGACTGTTCACTAATCTGAGCGTGAAACAAGATCACAATCAAGGGAATATAGAATCGATTGTTCAACTCTTATAATTACCATAATCACGAAGTGCAGTAAATAATGCTTTTAGAGGATGAGGATGCAAACTGAGTGCATGTAACAGAAGCTGCTTGCAAACACGACAAAATGAAATCTACTGTGTGAAATTTCAGTTTAAATTTAGGTGATCTTTCCGAGCATGGATAATAATGAATGGCTCCCTCTTCGCCGAATGCGCAAAATAACAATCTAAAAAATATCAAAGCCCTGGTTAACCTACCTACAACTTAAGTCCTCGGGTTCCTCTCCCTACAAATTCTGAAATTTACCTTAAGTTTGTTAAACCCTGTGTTATTCAAAATAATCACACTTGGTTTGATGCCGTTAGCTGGGCTGACGAGCAAAGAGCACTGGTATCAAGGTAGTGTCACAAAGCCAAACCTCATTATCATATTCTCAAAACACCTTATTCAACACATCCTCATAAAAGCACAAAACCGTTTGAGTTATGTTTTTGAAACTAGAAACTACTTTATTGGTTGATCTGTCTTGATGCAAATGGCGATCGCCCAGTTATCATGACAATCATTAGTATCACCATGGTCACTATTGTTTTATTATTATTTCTATTTCAGTCTTGCAGTAGTACGAGGTATTTAGTTCTTACCTTTTTGGCTTTTGTTTTTGTGACTGCTGTGCCTTCCTTCCGGGAAGGCCGTTAGCATTATGTAACGGTGTCGTGCAAGTCCGCGAACCTTCGCCAAACCCCTCACGGTTTCCAAATTAGCGGACTATCGTGAGACACTCGTAACCACTCTTCTGATTTGGTTCAGCTCCAACTCTGGCCATAGTTGAACGAATCTGATCGGGTTTCTACAGATTCATTTTTGTTTCATCGATTTCAATGTGAAAGCTACGTCGTCAAACGTTCTCACATGTGCATTTTACTCTGCACATGTCTAACACATCCTTTGAAGAAGAATTTCAATTGAAAGGGAAAAAAAAAGAGAATAAGAAAAGACGAGAAAAAGAAAGACAAAATTAAGTTAAAGTGGCCAGGGCTAAAACCTTTGAACTTCAGACTCGAGAGGAGAAGGTATATACATCGCGCTAGATACGCAGGGCCTACGATGCAGCAAAATTTTGTCTAAAAATACATTTGATGCGCGTCAAGAGATTGTAAACTTCTCAGTTCATAATCTCTGGTGCACATAAAATACATGTACCTACCCTATTAACCCTTTACACCTTAACATCATTATGCATAGTCTCCATACTGTACGCTATACATTTCCTAGGTTCTAACAAGGAGAATTTGTAAAATCATCAAGTGCTTTGTTAGTTGCTCATCATTTTCTTTATTCTTGTGACTTAAATTCAGAGGTGATATTGTAAGAACTCAGAACCTTGTCAATCTTAGGGATTAAAGGATTAATTTCCCGCCTTGTTCCGACCTTTCACTTTACCATTGCACAAACTCTGTTCTAGCTGAGTCGTCCTTTTGTCACAATTTTGGCATTGAAAAGAGTTGTTCATTCTAACCCCTCTGCATTTTACACCACTTTGCTTTTTTACTGCAATACTCTACAACTATACCACAGTAGGCACATGCAGTCATAGACTGCTTTTTATTTCACAAATTATTGATACCTTTGTTCTTTTTTGAACTTCGAATATCATACATTTAAATAAATATAAATACCTTATTTTGTTCACAAATTTTAGGCAAACCCAGTTAGGTTATACCTCGTCTGCATTTAGTCAAACAGAAATAGTGTTGCACCTGATTTACTGATAAAGTTTTAATCCTTTTTGAAAACAGCAATTGAAATAATAAACGTTTGATTGCAATCCCAGATTTGGTTTAAAATCAGACCATTTTTTACAGTTTTCACTGCCTTACAACGGTAGCAGTTATCCATAACACAAAGGCTTTAAGGTTCTACCATTCAACGTACAGATCTGCTAACTTTTCTCTAACTGCTGTTGTTAGTGACGGTGTTCAGGGATCAAAACAGGGAAGACAGCTCCATCGATAACCAAAATTACAAGAAGTTTCAATAACAATAACAATTATCAGAACTTCCGGTGGAAAAACAAGCAATTATCAGGTGGGTTCTCTATTTAGATAGACGAACTGAGATATGTCGACAAAACATCAAGACTGATGACTGAAAAATGTCAATTCCTCAAAACTAGTGTATAAAGTTTTGGGTCTTCCTACAAACTGCCAGAGCTGCCGCAAGATAATGAACTCGAAACTCCCAGTGAGCCGCCTTAGTGACTCACTGCTGGCAGCCTTAAAAAGCGTTTTCAGTCACTTCCCCTTAAAATTCCACAATAATTCCAACGTTTGCACATCAAAGGCAAAAATATTGTCTTTAGTTCGAAACTTGGCTTTGGAAACGTCCCCGACGTATTCATCTTTCTTGCCCGCGATTATATCAGAATTCCTGCTTGTCCCCGAGCCAGAATTGTCACCCTTCAAGTTGTTACCATTAGTTTGACTGGCGCCTTTCGGAGACTTTTCTTTCCGATGGGCTAGAGGTTTTGCTTGGGTGCGCAAGGCGGACTTGTTCTCGGTTAGTTGAACACCAACATTTTTCTTACTTTTCTGCTTTGAATTCGGCTTACAAAACCGTTCACGTATCCCGGATATCACTTCCACGGTAATTTTGTCTGGAGCAACTTCTGCGGTGGAGTTTGAGTCGTTCACACTGTTAGTGGCACGGGTTGAGTCAATTTGTGGACTTTTCGTCCGCGAATTTTTCTCAATAACCGTCGTCTTACCCTCACTTTGACTTGTTTCACGTCCCAGACCACATGTTTCATCTCCTCGTCTCGTGTTACGGTTTGAACTAGTTGAACAGCTTTGTTCCTTCTGTTCTCTGTCACTCGTTGCTCGGGTCTTATGCTCGCTAGAGTCTCGTAACCGTTTCACCAGTTCTGAAAGAACGATGTCCTCTTCATCGCTATCGATATTATCGTGATGAGAAGTACCGTTTAAATTATCATCTACCATGTCTTGCTCTTCCGGTAACTCTCCATCGCCCTCGTTTCCGTGTGGGACTTCCGCCCCCGGGTTGGTGGGACTCATCAACCGTGTTTCAATACATTTGTCCGCTCTATAGCCAGTATCATCGACTCTTAGGTTATCCATCCTCACCACCTCGTCCTTATCAGCACTCTTACTGTCAGTAATTTTTCCACACCGAACGCTGTCATGTTCGTTTTCTTCTTCTTCGATAATTTGAAGCACATCGTCCATAACCGGGAAGTCTACGACTTTTGTAACGTTGGCAAGTTTGTCGCTGACACCGTTTTCGTCTACGTTATTGTCACCCCCAAGAGGTGGTTCAGGCTGCGAAACCGAAGCTATTTCATCTGATACAGAGCAGAATGCGTCAGAATTGTTTTTATCACCCGTCATTGAAGAACGGATGTCACTGGATTCCATGATCCCTTTCCCACCAATGTTTTGGGTACTGTTTGTTCCAACTGATTTCACTTGATCAACTGGACTGGAAACTTTGGACGAGTTCGAACAACCCGAGTCATTGTCTCCTAATGAATCATTTACACATACAGTAGTCACCATGGTCGAGATTATTTCCGCGTCGCCTCTAAAAGGCGAACCCTCAGTGTTCCTTCGTACTAGGTCAGCGGATGACTGTTGGTCACTCGAAGCTTCTCCAAACTTAAATGGTTCCACCAAGTCAGTTGTAGGTTCAGATTCGCACGGTAAAGGGGAATTAGCCACAGAATTATCACCAACGGCTGGTTCAAAATCCATGAATTCTCCTCCATCATCAGAGGAAGGAGACATGCTACCATCACCTGCAAAAGAGTCTGCATTTTGTCCAAGACCGTTGTTTGTCGAAAGACTTGAGGTAACTTCATCTTGCAGTTCCTCGGGTCTTTTACCAACCACATTTGGCAATATTACAAAATCATCACATGAAGTCAGAGAGACCGAAGAACCGTCTGCTACAATATCCTGACCCTGAGCTCCTTCAAATCTACCCCGTGTTTCAGGGTTCACAGTAGCATCACTTAATTGAGCCACAAACGTGCTATTCGAAACGACGTTAAGAGATGTAGACGCCATTTTCGCTGCCTCAGTGATGCCGTTTAAGCCACTCGTGTTGAGATTAGTTCGTTGCATGTTTACATCTTGCCTCACATTTGGATCTGTGTGCTTGATGCTGTCCGTTTCATTCCTCCCGGATTGAGTATATGACGTTTTTCTCTTTTTCGGCGCTGTATCCGCGCACTGGGTGTCGGAGCTTTCAGAAAAGGAGGAGCGATACCCACTGAGCTTTTTGGCGAGTGATAGTGGCTTTCTTCTCTTCTTTTTTTTCTACAAAAGGGACAAACCGGTATTATGAGCATAAGAGTGCTACTCTTCTCTATATACTAACACAGGATATTTAAGAAGTAATTTTGAACGCTTTTGTGAACAACTGAATTTCGATATTTTAAAATTTAACGTTAAAAAGTACACCTCGGCACGCAGCATTAAAAAAAATAATAATAAAAAGTTTTTAGAGAATATTCGCCAAAATTTCACAGTTTTACACTAAATTTTACAGTGTGGTTGTTTGCGGCGTTCCAATTTCTTTATTTCCTTTCGTATTTTTGTAGTGTTGAACTGTTTCATAGTAACAATTTAAGTGTTTTTTTTTACATCTAATAGTACAAAAAATGATTTTGCATAAAAACATCAGACTCGTCAATCTATGGAATTTTTTTCAATAACAGACACAGTTGTACCTTAGACGGTGATCTGTCTTGAGGAGACGGTGTTGGCTTTATTCTTCTCTCTGCGTGGAGCACTAGATGTTTTCTGAGAGAATTCTGTAGATACACAAAGGGGAAACAAACAGCAAGATACAGTGAAAAGCAACACAAAATATCAGAAATATAATTTCACAAAAATTTAATGAAAAAAGGAAAACAATGGAAAAGAAAAAGCACTGTACCTTATGGGCGAATCCTTTTGCACAGCCTTCCCATGTGCACAGATAAGGCCGGTGGCCCTCATGGAAGGCTTTGATGTGTACTCTGAGGTTAAATGCCTGAAAAATAAGCAAATCAAAATGTCGAGTTCAATGCAGCTGGCATAAAGTGAAATACAGTGTTTTATGCTACACACGCCGAGCAGTTGACCTTCAATACTCAGGATAGCACAGCATGCTCCGTTAGCTCAGTGACGGACGGCTATCGGGGAAACTCTCCATCACTGTTTTCTGAGCAAGATGAATAATCCTACGATTGTCTTGAGGGCTGAAAATTTACATAAACCATTGTAATTTGACACAACAGCTTCTTTCTGTCCTCTTTAATAGAAGTTGTGTTTTTCAGATTCCAGCAGCTTTTTTTTAAGGTAACCTACCTTCAAATATACTTTTGAGCATCCCTCTCTAGGGCATTCGTACAGTTTCCGATTCGTATTGTGTATGACGGCATGCTTCCTGAGCTGTAAACACAATCAGGTGACATTGAGGTGAACAAAACAGTGTGCTCTCACCACAGTCTGTTTAGCCTGCGAGTGGGCTCTTAAGGTTGGGTTTCGCCTTACCCCACAGTCTCATATTGCACCATTGACAGCTGCCTATTGCACCATTGACAGCTGCCTATTGCACCATTGACAGCTGCCTATTGCACCATTGACAGCTGCCTATTGCACCAATGGCAGCTGCCTATTGCACCATTGGCAGCTGCCTATTGCACCATTGGCAGCTGCCTTTTGCACAATTTGCAGCCATCAATTGCATCATTGGCAGCTGCCTATTGCACAATTTGCAGCTGCCTGTTGCACTACTGGTAGCTGCCTATTGCACCATTGGCAGCTGCCTATTGCACCATTGGCAGCTGCCTACTGCACCATTGGCAGCTGCCTATTGCACCACACTTGGTTACTTATTAAAAAAGTCATTGAAACCCCTACACATGCAGATTAGGCTCCTTTGTGTTGTTAGCCTGAAATACAGAGGTTCAAAGAATGCCAGCCCCATATGAAGGGCATGTCAATGGCTGGGGTACAATGAACACTTGTTCCTCTTCTGGCAAATTCAAAATATAGACATTTTATTTGTACAAACAAGTGAATCAAAGCATTTTGAATAAACAAATTAATTCATTTGCAATGTGTCTGCTATACAAATTGATTCCATACTGACAGGATTTAACAGTAACTCATATAAGGGATAAAACACTTACCTCACAAGCTTGTGAAAAGGTCTTGCCACAATGGTTGCAAGAAACCCCTGACAAATAAAATCACAATTTTTACATAGAGGAAATGTATAATTATCTCTTGCAGAACAAAAGTTTGGTTTCAAGTAAATGTAGCATTCTCAGTGTAAGATACATACCATGACTTCTCATGTGCACTGCTAATTTTGAAAATTTGTCAAAGGCTGCAGAGCACCCTGGTGTACTGCAAATGTATCCTGGATTAAGAAAGAACAGAATGATTTAAAAGTTTAAAAGTTTAAAAGTTTATCACTACGTGTTTAAACAGTGGATAGCATTAAGACACACTCAGACTTGCACAGGATTTGCACCACAAAATATTGTGATCTTTGTAGGAATAAATGAGTTTCAATCATCTTTCTGTGCTACTGTACATTATCTCACTGTTTTAGTACATACCAAAAAAGATATTCACCCAAGTGGCACCACTAGCCACCTCCACTCTGGTGAATAGTTGTTAATTATTATTATGTTTCTTTAGCATATTAAGAATTAGTTTGATTTCTTTAACAGTTGTCACATTACATTGCATTCAAACTCCTGTAGCCTCACACAAATCTCATCAAAGCAAAACGGACTAAAATCTTCCATTTAAAACCCAGTAACAGAACCTTTCAACTGTCTGCAATAAAGTGCAAAGCACAGATTTCCCATGCAACATGATTGACAGCAGCATGATATAAGTTTTTTCTTCCCAGTTCACTTTATTTAAAAGTGTTGTGATATACCCTGTAGGGTGCTGTCATCCAGATTGACAATGATACAGGTGGTATCATCTGAATTAAGGTTTATTGTGCTTCAAAACAATCACCACTTGTGCCTAAAACATTTTAAAACCAAACATCACACCCAGTGGCTGATGATGCCTATCTTGTTAAAATTTAATGAAGAAAACAGAAATAAATCTACAAAAGAATTTCTTGTATTCTTAATATTTCGTACTCATACATAGTTTAAAATCTATCATGGAACACTCATGTATTACCTTTGTTGTGCTTCTTCATGTGATTCTGAAGCTTCGATAGACTATCAAACCCAGTGCCACAGCCTTCCACCTGACACCTGCGATGATAAAAAACATACAAACGTATATGACTACCTTATGTACTTGAAAAAGAGCCATCCCTGAATATGCACCTCCCTCATTGGAACTATGTGCAAATTCTTTGGAATGTAAATGTAAGGATTTAGATGTACATGTCAGAGAGCATTAACCCATGCTAGGCCCCATAGACTCAGATAAAAAAAGGGGCCATTATTTAGATCGAAGTTGAGTGAAGACATTATTAGTGATGCAATTGGAAGAGCTGGGAGAGAAGAAAGGTGAGGATCAAAGGACGCCTCTGTTAGTTATAAAATTGTTTCGTACAAATAGATAATATGCTGTTAAATAAAAAAGAGAACATTTCTTTGATACAGTGTACATCTCATTTTTGAATGAGTATCATTAGCAGAATAAGGGTGGAATGTAAGGCTAGAAAAAATAAATAAGCCCTGCCACACTTATTTAAGTAATTACCGTAATAAATACAATTATGATGTTTAACCTGTTTCGACTCAAATAACATAGGTGAAGTTATCCTTATGTAGTGTACTGAAAGAGGACTCAACTAAATCCAGTCCAACTTACTTATACAGCTTTTCATTTGTGTGAATGCAAATATGTCTCCTAAGCTGAGTGCTTTTCTTGAAAGCCTCATCACATCCCTCGTAATGGCACTGTGAAATAGTGTTAACAAAATAGACGAAAAAAACCAGTGAGGACCTTAGAAACACATCATTTTTAAACTAGATAAAACTAGCTACATGTAGCAAGTCTTTGACATCCTTTTCTTCTCAACATCTACACCTTGAGCAAAATGCAAACTAGTGATGATGCACAGTTGAAACAGGAAACATTCACAAAGTCAGACTTAAAACTGATGCATGGCATGATGAATTTTTCTATTGATGAAGTCACAATCCTAAGAAAAAGTATGAGAATATTCCATTACAGTGGCACTTCAAAGTTCATCCAAGTTTAATGACACAAACTGACGAATACCTGGTCATATTGATAAGCACCCACTGAATTCTAAAAAAAATGTCGCATGTTTAAGACCAATATGTCTTTTCCTCTCACATAATCAATACAATAAAAAAACATAGATTGGACTTCTTTTATTACAAATGAAAATATACAGTTTAATTTGAGCAAAAGATAAAATTTGATCACAAAATATACATGTACATAATTATACAATTACAAAGTTATTTGATAAGATCTTTACCTTAAATGGTTTGTTATGTGATCTCTTCTCATGCCTCTTTAAATTATGCTTGAGAGAGAAGGTTTGTGTACAGCCTGGGTAGGAACATCTATAGAGAAGAACACATTATTTGTAATTGTATTAGTTAAAACAGAATTTCATTATTTGTTGTACTGATGGCATACACTGACATGTCCATAGCTGGGAGAGGGATGGTTTAAACCATGATCACTAATTGAATGCATTTGTAACACACTTGGATCTTTGGAGCCAGGATCTGACTTCAAGAAAGGTAGGAGCACACGAGCAGATGAAGTTTTAAAATACCTTTCTTTTGTATTTAACATCAAATCTTATGGTCTAAGATTCAAAGCAGTTTCTTTCATTTCTTCTATGTCTTTAAGATAGTGATCAAAGTCAAAGATGAAAAATATCAGAATGAAACTGGTTTGAACATTTTTCAAAAAAATTAAAAATAAAAAAAGGAATGGGCAAAGAATATATACATGTAGATGTTTGACTGTGCACATCAGGTCTAGAAAAAAAATCCATAACTTTGGGTCCACATCTGCAATTGATAGAGTCCCCCACTGCACAGTTCTTAACCCTTTAAACCTCAAGAGTGACTAACATCTAATTTCTCCCTTCAGTATCACCTGTGAATCACACATTAAGGTCATGAGAACAAAGGAAATGATCACCATTGAAACATTAGCTTTTGATTGGTGAACAAATTCTCCTTGTCAGCACCTTATGAAAAGTATAGAGAACAGTTTGGAGAATATGCATACTGATGTTAGGGTGTACAAAGTTAACCCTTAATTCTCCCCTCTAATTGCTGCACATTTCCTAAGAAATTAGTTAAAATAATTTGGTTTTAGATCAAGAAAACAGCTACCAGATAAGTTTGAGTATTCTTATTACCTTGTAGCAGGATTACATTGGGATGTTATGAGGAGAAGTTACATGTTAATCACTTCTGGGAGTTAAAGGGTTAATTCCCTCACATGTGGAATTTTCTCCCTAAGGGCCATAAAAAGCCATGTATATGAATAAACAATTGTATACTTAAAAATTTCTTGTCCTGTGTGGATCAGTGAGTGACGCTTCAGATGGTATGGTCTGATAAAGGATTTGCCACATCCTTCAAACTCGCACTTAAAAGGTCTCTGCGGGTAAAATTACAATTATAACCAATACTCATATTTCTAGACAAACACTGCAGGCAGAAAGCATGTTTGGATACCATTATCTCGTGTTTATTACACTTTACCATTTATTACACATGGATTAATGAGCAAGTGGTCATTCAGGCTAAAAATAGGCTAAATTTAAAAAAAAAATGCCTAAAAAAGAAAGCCCAGTATCCATCAAGCTTCATAAAAATCTGGCAGTCCTTAGGTTTAGCCTTTCAACTGAATTGATTGCGTGAACACGTACTCCATAAAATGAGATTCTTCTCAGAAAGTGGCCAATTGGAGTAATGAGAATTTGCCTTTGATTGCTTTCCAATAAAATTCACTCTGTATTTCTGGAGAAGAAAGCACTGTACTGGATCTTCCACAGTTTAGTGAGTTGGAGCTTTGGTGTGAACAAGCATGTAAGATCGTGTAATACATGTAAGCTTGCGGCTATTGCATGACGTCGTCTGTAATGCACGATTCCGGCATAATCGAATAACACACTAAAGCTTAAATCATTTTAAATGAAATTTAAAGGAAAAAAGCGAGTTATATTTAAAGGGAGATTTTTTTTGGCCCGGTTCTCAACATATAATAATTCCTCGAACTCACGTTCAATGCCTTAGTGACGAACCAAAACGTACCGGACGAACAGAGTAACAGCACGTGTCAGATGAACTACCCTTTCAATTCAGAGTTTAAAGCGCATAAAATCTACAGATTTTGTTCGAAGGACACAGGACACAAACCTACCTCTCCTGTATGGGACCTCTTATGCTCCTCAAGCCTCCATTTCTTATTGTAACTTTTCCCACATTCTAAACAGGTATGACCCTCGCCAAAGTCCGCCATGTTTTGGAGGTTTGTTTGTTGAAGAGAGACTAAGTTCTAGTTCTAAGTACAAACCAACGTCGTTTCCAGGGTCCTCTCTCCTCTTACATCTTGCGAAAAACTTCCCCAGGGTTCCCCAGGCGTTTTTTATCGAACGATATGGAAAAAGTCTATGACTTTGGAGTCAGTAATCTGATTTATGATTAGGGAGTCGTGTATCCTTGTGCGATCTAATACCCGGACCATCCACTATCATTTTATGTAAGATCTGACGTAACCTCTTTCTGGCGGGGTTGAGAGGGGAGTGGGGGGGGGGGGGGGGGGTTGGAGGACCAGTTTTAACTTACTACGATCCTTCATTAATCTGTACTTAGGGTAGCTACCGTTTTCAGTAACGTAAGTTAATGTGACCTGTTCTCGAATAACTCAGCCTGTGCTTGATGCATGGTACCACTCTTGACAATTTCGTAAATATGTTTGACATTCCTGCGGCAAACTTCTGTTGCAGAACACACCGTTTATGTAACTAATTGCTCGACTTTTTAAAGTCAGGATACGTGTCTGCTCGCAGTTATTACACACAGTTATTATGAGGTGCCGTGTGTTTGGGCAAGGACAACCATAATAAAGAGCAAGCAGTAGACGAGTGCTTTACAAAACTGCTTTATTATACAGAACTGCATAATACGAACTTATCTTTATGATAAGATATAATGTTACAGCCACGTGACTGTGGTTAGCGTGCTCTGACCTGCTCTAACAAGATTATTCACTAACTAAGGAAATGAACCTGGAATACGAATAAACGGCCACATTAAGACCAGAAGCTAGAGATGAAGTCATGGTTTTCTTAAATACAATCGACGGCGTTCGCATTAAAACCCTTTACATTAGGCTTCCTTTCCCAACAAATGTTACTTTGCGCCAGGATCAATAAAGACAAATCAATCATTTATATGTAGACAGATGAATACTCAAAGAGTGGCAAATGAAAAAAAAAACATGAATTGAACAGAAGTATATGTTGAAAATAATGAAATCATAATAATTTCACACACATATTCTATGGGAAGAAAGCTGCATTATTCTAAGTTCAATAAATGTTTTAAAAGTCTTTCAAATATTTAATACCCTTTCCCATGTTACTTTTGCTGAGTTTGCTCTTTTATCTTGACCATGCAATATGTAACCGATATGTCAACTACTATATTATCTTTGTTCCTTTTACCAGCAGCTTAAAAATAATGGTCATTTGAATAATGACTAATCTCCTTTAGCATTGCGTGAGGTAGCCCAGTTTCGCCAATGCTTTTAGTTTTGCCCTGAACTGGTTGAAGCGGTGCCGCTAATGTTCCGAAGAATCACATTACAATTCACACCTCTAGCTAGTCTCTTCGTGAAAAATCAAAAGAAAAAAGAAAAGAAACAACAACACTGATCTACTTTATTTTCATTTCTGTACGTTTCAGTGAATACCGATATCCTTTAAAAGGAAACCAGTTGACACCATCAGCAAATGAGGAGGAGTACCATCCGTTGAGATACAACCCGTTTAGATTGGAATGCAGACAGGCTCTGTACCACCAGGCGCCTTTGAACTTCTGAGCACAGCTGCCGTCCGGTTTTACGTCGTTATCACTATCTCTCGTGGAGAACTGCATATCACTACAAAAAGTTAATACCACAAAATACGGTTTGTAGATCTTATAATTAAATTGGATGAATATTAGATAGAATTTGAGCTTTTGGTACACTAGTTCAACATCTCATAAGCCAAAATCGGAAATGGCAGATACAAAAAAAAAGGAAAAATAAATAGAAAATGAATGAATTGAAAATATGTTGAGGATTCCATCTCTTTACTCGCACAAGTCTCGAAACGAATAGATATAAAAATATTTGCCTGCAAATTATCAGACATTTTACTTTCAACAACCTCATTTCTAAACTACCGTTTATAATACCTGTGTACATTCAAACCGTCTCCAGCTGTCCCACTGTATCCACCAATTACAATTCGGTATTTATCTGTCTGGTCCGCCACCTTAAATGTCGCGTACTCAGCGTATGTGATGTTACCTTCGAAGTCCTCCAGGTCAACTCTCAACGAAACGTTACCAGCGGCTGTCAAACGATGAAGATTGTCATTTCCAAGCCAAAACTCGCCGTGTAAATCTCCGAAGCCATTTTTGTAGGACAACCAATCTCGATAGAAATCAACAGAGCCGTTCAAACGTCTCTGAAAAACAGTCCAACCTCCACCGTTCGTGGTCATGTCACACAACACTTGCATGGCATTTCCGCCATCTGGATTAATAGTGTACACGCCGCTAGATGTGACACCATCTTGATAAAGTAGAGCACAACTTTTGGGTTCTGTTGACGAAAAATTTGATTTGAATGGTACGCTTGGACTATAGTAGAAGTAATTTATTTTTACTTAGTCACGGGGTTAGTGTTTCTCTAGATGATGAATGATCATTATATTTGTAAAACACCAACAACAGCAACTACGACAACAAAGAAAATTTACTGAGAGGAGGGGTTGATCAACAAATATAGAAGTTGTGTACACCTAGTGCTCGAGGTGTGAAAGTTCGAGCGGTGAAAGCACTATTGTGCCGGTTTTCTCTGCTTTTTCTCTTTGCATTATTATCGTCATTATTATTTTCACTTACCACAGGGCTTTCCTGTGTATCCATCCTTGCAACTGCATCTAACACTGTTGGTTCGAATGTTTAGGATGTAGATTTCGTTCTTGCCACAATCTGACTTATCTCGTTGGTATGAGCTCTGTTTGTAAACAACAATAATAATAATAATAATAATAATAATAATAGTGAGAGTAATAAAATTTATAATGATGATGATAATATATTAATAATGCCGACGATTATAATGATGATGATGATGATGATGTCATAATCATTATTAACAGTTGTTTACCGAAGTGAAGGTGGATAGTGGTGGATATTTTTAAGTGGCCTGCGAGGTAAATATCCACCGCTTTCAACGACACAGAGGAGAGTAACTGTTTTAGTATATACCACACAGATACTAAAAGAATTAGTCAATCTACCACAATACGCTCGGAAACTGAAATGTTGACGCGCGACTTTGTCTCTCGGGCTGCTCGGAGGTGAGTAGTTCTTGCTAATCGCCTCCTACCCAGCCAATCAAAGCTCGCGTAAAGCACTCTTCACCTTTGTGGTATATACTAATAAGGGATACAGCGATTTTTTTACCACAATTTGCAGCAATGTCGCAATTTGATTGACCAATTTGTCGATGTCGGCTGCTCGCGTCTACGTGTCACACAATGGCTTTATCAGCTCTCTGACCAATGTGATGACCAATATCTTTGTAGATAAGAGTGCAGACCACGCTAAGCTATTGTGGACTTGTTAAATAGTAGCGCCATTGCGGCAATTTCAACCTACCAGGTCGCCTTATGTTATGACGAACTGAGATAATCTCTAGCTTTTAATCAGAAAAAAAAACTTCTTAACTAAACTTTGTGGCTAGTAATGAGAGAGAGTTCTCTATGATTCTCTAATTTTTTTTATTAATGCTTGAGCGAACGTGTCTGCTTCAATTTCGCGTTTTTTTATATTTGTCGTTTAAGGAGGCTCCATAGGGTTTTTTGATCGCGCGAGATCTGGTTGCGAACATAGGGCGAGCTTTTAAACTGACAAAATAACGTGGCGGCTCAATAGGCCTGAAAAAAGAGGTCAACCGAAAACAAAACACAGTGGGAAAGATTGCCAAAACGCGACAGACTCGAAAGTTTACGCATGCTCAGATGTAGATCTTAGCGAAGTTCTATTCCATTACGTAATGTTCTGCGACAGAGAAAATAGGGATCTTTTGAGCAAGATTTATCGCGTTTCCTTAGATGGAATTTCCTAAGATTTGTTGGACCATTAAACATATTTGTGCCCTTCCTAGTGCCTGTTGATAAAAATAATTCATAGGACCAAATTTGAGATAGAGAAAGATAACAAAAAATTGCAAATAGCGAGGAAACTGCCTTTGTAACCCTTTTTCTCCAACTTTTAAATGATCGGCAGGACAAATTTCACAAATTGTGAACATTTCGAAAGATTTCGTCGAAGCAAATTGCAAAGCAGAATTATCATTGGCGAGCGCCTCCGTTCGTCGAGCCTTAGCTTCATAACGAAAATCATTTTGATAAAAATTGCTACAGCAAACGATTGTCCGAACCTTGCTCATCGGCTTTGATGGCTTTTAGTGACCTTGAAAGGCAAAATCATAAAACTTTTCTACAAAAACAATACGATGGCGTGCGCGCCAACATTGAGAAAAATACACTATAGAGCCTCCTTAGATGCAATTCTGCAATTTTATTAAATGATTTTCTTTTACCATTAACTGTCATTTTCTGGAATTTGTTCGTATATCTAGGCGGTCGCCAAAATCTTTTGAAATGCACTGCAAATACCTTTATCCCTCTGTAACTGAACTCTTTGTTCTCAATGAAGTTGGCCCTGGCTGGCCTCTCAAATCGATCCGAGTCACTGATCTGGCACTTCCATCTCTCAGATTTGTTCTTTTTGCCTCCAAAGTTGTAAGACTTACATCGCTCTTCGTTGACACACTCCAATCTACAAGAGCTTTCTGATTCCACCTCTATCTCCTTTATCACGCTCCCGTTGAGTTGTCTCCCGTCCATCCTCTCGCCAAAATTAGCGGCTTGAAATCTGGGAAACGTGTTTGAAATGCGACTTGTTGCATAAGCAGTGACACCGATCAAGAATAATATTAGTACGTGCATGTTTAAGCTGATAGGTAGGTCAAGAAGTTTCCTTAGCCAAAATTGGGATGCTATGGTATTAGTTAGACTCGTTACGTAATTTGTTTTTGACTCTAATCCAGCCAAAGACTCGTAATCTCAATGCGCTTGGCACCTGGCAATTTTGCCTATTGATAATTCTCAGCCAGCTCCTCCAGCGCTACGTGGTTAGCATTTGGCGTAATTTCAAACAAATATGTTATGAAATCAC